TAAAACTTACAGACGGAAATTGTTTAACCTGTGTCATATTGTAATCTCCAAGCATTCACTGCTGTTTTGAACAGCTGTAATGTGTCTACATAAAGCAGGTTGGTTTGCTGGGCTAAAATGTTCCACATTCTAGAATAACTGGGCAGGAAGGAGCGCAGATAGAGTTCTGTTCTTGCAAAAGGAACCTGGACTTCTTGGACACGATTACTGGCGTTTCTTGTCCCGTGCGTAGGCGCGAGTGCTGGTGGAAGACGTAGCTATGTCAATGAAGATTTTTTTTTTTTTTTTTTTTTTTTTGGTACATCTTGTAGAAGACGCAAAGGCCAGCCACATCTCTCCGATGTTGAAGGGACTGGAAGCGAGTAGGAGGTTCATTTACGGGCGTCTTCAGTTGCACTAGCCTCAGGGCTCTGTTCTGAACGGTGTCTAGGAGGCAAGATGAGTCGGTGTGCAAGACAGCCAGGCGAGTGACGAGTACTCCACCAGAGAACGAACCTGGGAGTTGTAAAGAGCTGCGCTTCCTTTGCCGTCTAGCAGAGGAGCGGTGCGTTGTACACAGGCCAACTTCCTCGCTGCATTCTTTGCTTACTTTTTGACGTGGCTGGTGAAGGTTAGGTGATTATCGATCTGCACGCGGAGAATGTTGATTTCTTTGATAGTAATAATGGATTCGTTGTTTAGCTTTATGATGGATGCAGGAATATTATCGGGTGTCTGCCGTCTACATATAACCATTGCTTGGGTTTTATCTGGTGCCAGAGTGATCTGCCACTTATTAACCCTAGAAATTACGTAGTCAAGTGTATTATTTACATATCTGACTGTGTTTACGCGGTTCTGAGTATCGCAGGTGAATGCGAGGGTACAATCATCAGCGTAAGCATAAGCTTCAGGGATGAGCTGCACGATATCATTTAAGTAAACGTTCCACAGAATTGGTCCGATTACACTACCTTGTGGCACACTGGCTTGAATGGGGAATTCACTAAATGCGTGGCCTTGAACGACAACTCTCAGGGTTCTTTCTTGGAGGTAGTCCTCGAGAAGCATCTGTAGATTGTCGCCAATGCCAAAACTCTTCAATTTCGATACAAGGCACTTGTGCATTACTCTGTCAAAAGCTCCTGCTATATCGAGTGCAATAACGGTGTCCTTGCGAGTATCAAGAGCTTGGTGCCAGGTTGTAGTTGGGTGCAAAAGCAAGTCTGAAGCCGATCTCTGTGACCTGAAACCAGATTGTCTTGAACTGAGTAGGTGTGTTTTATCAAAATAGCTAATCAGTCTGTTGGCCAGGATTTTTTCAAATATTTTGCCCAAAGAGGAAATGAGTGATAGTTGTTTGGGTACGATTTGCTCTTCTTTATGTGTATTGCCACAAAGTTTGCTCTCTTCCAAATATTAGGCCACGCTGCACCTTAGGCATGTTTGAAAGAGTGAGGCAAGAGGAGCAGCCAGCTGCCTAGCACACCTGCGAAGTGTGTGAGGGCTGATTTTAACAGGTCCTATGGCTTTCTGGACAGCAACATTACTGAGAAGCTGCCTGACTTCTGTTTCAGTGATCACAAAAGAACTGAGCTTTGAGTGAGTCACGGGAGGCAGACTAGGAGGTGGTCGGTCAGGGTCACAGACTCTCATCTTTTCAGAGAAGACCGTAGCCAAGTTCAGCTTTCTCTCTGCTGGAGGTTGCCATTGAACCATCAGGTTTGTTAAGAGGAGGGATGCAGTCGTCAGGTGCAAGGCCTTGTTGTTGTTTGATGGAGCTCCACCAGGCTTTACTTACCACTGAACGACCAGTGAGTTTTAATCGGAGGTCCTCTTTCCATCGATTAATTGCCCACTCTTGAGCAGCTCTCATTCTCCTGCAGGCCATAGCAGGGACATCTTTATTTCGCTGTGTGGGATGGCGCTTATAACGATTCCAGGCTCTCATCTTTTCGTCAGCTGCTACTCTGCAATTATTGCCAAACCATGGCTGGTCTAGATTTTGTCTTGTATGTCTTGTTGGGTACATACATTGTCTGTAGGCTCTTTAGCAATTTGGTGAGGGCGTTTGCCTGTCGGTCAGCAGTGCCTGCGAGGATGTCTTCCCAGGGTGCTTCAGATAGAGCATCACACATGCCCTGCTAGTCTGCTTTTTCCCATTGCCAAATTGTACGGGATAAGGTTTCCTCTCGAGCAGCTTTTAGGCTGATCTTGCTCAATACTGCAAAGTGATCAGAGGAACCTACTGTGCCGAGAGAGGAACAACTGACGTCTGCTTCAGCCAGATCCGTGATCACAGGGTCTAGAGATGAGCCTGATATATGAGTTGGGAATTGAACATGATTTGTAAGCCCAAAAGTACTAAGGAGCTCTTCAAATGATCTTTCAACCAAGTGTTGGTTCAAATCCCCTAGTATTTTAATGTTATGGCAAGAGTATGTGTGTAGAATATTGTCCAGGTTAGCTTGAAGATAAACAAGTGGTTCAGAGCCTTGCCACTGGGGTCTGTAGCAGACACAGAAGGGCAGCATCACGTGTGTCTGTCAAAAAAAAAAAAAAAAAAAAAAAAAAACATGAGTTCAAGATGATCTGCCACATTAATTTCAAGTGGTTGTGCATGGCGTGATTTTCGAAAGCATACAGCGATGCTTCCAAAAGTACCATGAACTCTGTCACGCCTGTGCCACTTGGAAAAACCACCAACCTTCCCAAAATTCTCAGGTACCGTGGAGTTCAAGAAAGTTTCCACAACAGCTATTATATCAGGTTGATGTGGGATTATGTGGTTGTGTGAGGTCTCTCAAGTTCGTTTGGAAGCCTCTAAAATTAGCAGAGAGGATTCGCAGGTGGGCCATTCCTCTGTGGTTGCGAGGCCTAGTACCAGGAGCCTTGCAGAGAGCTGGTTGTGTGTCGACTGGGTGGCTGTATTGTTGGTGTTGGCCAGCCGGCTTGTAAGGGGAGATGTGTGTTGTGTGGAGTGTAGGGTGTCAAGTGCTTTTGGATTGCTTGCATCAAAACAGCATTACTTTGACGCTGTTCTGCAGCAATGCTTTGGAAGAGGTGTTCTTGTCTTTCCTCTTGTCTCTTTGTTCCACACTTGGATGTTACATGCCCTCTACGGTGGCAATATTCACACACTCCTCTTACGGCAGTTGTTTTCTGTGTGACCCTTGACTTTGCATTGCTTACAGTAAAGAGTCCTGTCGGATCTCTGCTGTTGATTTAGAGTGGTAGTCTGGGGGTTACGGGGCCTCTGTCTATGTTGTGTGTGGACTTGTGTTTGGTTTGGGCGGGCCTGATCTGTATGCGCCTGTTGACAAAGTTGATGCAGGCAGCTGACTGTTTCGATTGTCAAGCTGAGGCAATGACAGCCGATGTGGCTGTTGCAGCTGTTGAGATGAGGTTGGCTGCTGAGACTGTGGTAGAGGCTGACGAGGTGTTTGTAATGAAACTGCTCGATGACCAGTAGCCTGGTCAATTTTATCGGGTTTAGCTGTACAGGTTATTGATTTACGTTCAGCTGTACTGATAGGAGTTGCAGCAATAAGGTTGTCATAAAAGTTGACAATGGAAACAGCAGCGTCCCGTCCACGTGCCAAGTCCTGAGCTGGGTTACTAAGGAACCTCAGTAAGAACTTCTTTTTGGCCAACTCTGCTCTGAGTTGCAAGACTGTTTTAACAAGCTCTCGAGGTTCAAGCTGGAGAAGTTCCTCCTCCTCGTTACTATTTGTATCTGTTGCCCTCAGTGATGGGTTGGTCCTCAGTGTACAGGACTTCTGTTTCGATACCAAGGAGAGAGCTTAAGTTTTGGGTGTCAGAGCAATCAAACCCCTGGTTGTTGCCAAGACATGTGCTGTGACGGATGATTGTACACTCTGGTTCTGAGCACTTGACTGACTGCTTGCTGACAGTCGATTTGCCACAGACACAGCACCACTCGCGTGGTACGTAGCCAGACAATCCTTGAGGACGAGCAATATGAGCGTGTTGTCTTGATTCTGACATAATGGCACTTCAGACACGGTCTCACTCTTTTACATAGATTGCATAAAAGACAGTAAAATGAATTTACCTTACCTCTCTCTCTCTCTCTCTCTCTCTCTAATTTTCCGTTTTTCACGTTTAATATTTGCATGACTTTTCACAAAATAACTACAATATATTTTGACGCTATTATATGTATATACGGTCATATATTTTTTCTTCTTTTCTGTTGCTCATGATAAATAATATATAAAAAGTCAGATGTTTTTTTTTCTTCTTCTTTTCTAATGCTCATAATGGGCAACGAAAGAAAGCGACTACTTTTTTGGCTTTGCGTTAATTCGTTGGATTTTACTATCTGACAGGAAAATCAATCTGTGCCTCCACGTTGTCGTCTTACATCAACATAGTTATATATTTTTCATCTACATGAGAGATTCTGACGTAAACAAGTTTCTTTATTTTTAATGAAAATTACGAGGTTCTGTTGCATCACTGACATTCCTTTGCAATTGCAGTAATCATTAATCACAGGAGACATTATATATATATATATATATATATATATATATATATATATATATATATATATTATATATATATACATATATATACAACATACACACACACACACACACACACACACACACACACACACACACACACACACACACACACACACACATATATATATATATATATATATATATATATATATATATATATATATATATATATATAATATATATATTATATATATGTGTGTGTGTGTGTGTGTGTGTGTGTGTGTGTGTGTGTGTGTGTGTGTGTGTGTGTGTACACACACAACACATACACAACAATACACACACACACACACACACACACACACACACACACACACACACACACACACACACACACACCACACACACACACACACACACACACAACA